TAGGACCCAAGTCTTTCATGTCAAATTCCTGGCTCAATAAAGCTTTCAAACCACGAACATCATTCATATTCTTTGCAGCAATCAGTATATCATCAACATACAGTAACAGAAAAATAATAGAACCATCATCAAGGCTTTTCACATAAACACAACAATCATACTCACATCGCCTGTAGCCAATCTGCATCATGTAGGAGTCAAATCGCTTGTACCATTGTCTTGGAGACTGTTTCAACCCATACAGCGATTTCTTTAACCTGCAAACCAGATGCTCCTGTCCAGGTTGAGTGAACCCTTCTGGCTGCTCCATGTAAATCTGCTCCTCCAAATCACGATGCAAGAAGACAGTTTTCACATCCATCTGCTCCAAATGCAAATCCCAAATAGCTACTAATGCAAGCACTGCCCTGATTGAAGTATGTCTGACCACAGGAGAAAAGATTTCATCATAATCTATCCCCTTCTGCTGCGAAAATCCCTTTGCAACCAGTCGAGCCTTGAACTTTTCCCCTTCTTTTTCTGATACTGCTGGTTTCCTTTTGTAGACCCATTTGCACCCAATGGCCTTCTTTCCCTCTGGAAGCTGAACTAGCTCCCAAGTGCGATTTTTATGCAAAGACTCCATCTCCTCAACAATTCACCCATCCATTTCTCTTTCTCATGACTAGTGATAACTCCTTGAAAAGTAGTTGGATCACCGCTGCTAATGAGAAATGCACATGAGACTAAGTCTTCATAACCCAATCTGCTAGGAGGTCTTACATTGGTGCGTCTCTGTCTATCTCTGGCTAGATTGTAATTCTGCAGATCATCTAGAATAGAATCACCAGGTGCTGGATTTGAAATTTCACCTCTCTCAGAAGCTACTGGCTGTTGTTCTAAATCCATCTGCACTGCATCTGAACTGGAACTGTTCCCTGACACCTTGTCTTGATTCTGCTGTAACATAAACTGCTCATCAAAAACTGCATCTCTGCTGATCACCATCTTCTTTGCAATCGGATCCCAAAACTTGTATCCTTTCACACCTTTCTTGTAGCCCAGAAAGATGCACTTCTTGGATTTTGCATCAAGTTTGGATCTTTCATCTCCAGGTACATGCACATAAGCAGAACATCCAAAAATTCGTAAATAATCAAATTTAACTGGATTACCTGTCCATGCCTCTTCTGCGACCTTGCCACCCAATGATGCTCGAGGTGATCTATTGATGAGATAGCATGCCAT